AAATCTTTACTATTTATGTCTCTTATATTTATTTCTATTATATACACAGCTTTTTACCTCACCTTCTTACTCTTCTCACCCTCTCTCCCTCCCTTCCTTCTTCAATTATTTCCCAACTTCCTTGTTTGGGCCAAGCAGGAAAGCAGGGCACTTTAGAGGTAGAGTGACTTTGCACTCTGAGGGAGAAGGCACTCTGTGCCTTCAAGGAGCTGTCTGGTCAGGGATATAGATGTGGGAGAAAAGAGAGGGCAAAGCCAAAAGTACAAGTCAGACAAGTACAGGGTGTAATACTTGGCCAGGAAGAGTGAGCAACAAACCCAGTCTAGGGGGTAGGCAGTTATCACAAAAGTGGTAGTATTTGAATTGAATCTCAGCACATGAGGCAGGCAGGAGCTCCTAGAAGTCAGCAAGGGCCAGATATGTTGGACATAGGAAAGAAGCACTTGTTCGAGAGCACAGAGATTCACCAGTCAGTGAAACTGCAAGAGAATGAATGTTCTGGGAGTGAGCATTTCTCAGGCTGTGTCATCCAGGTTACCATGCGCAGGTGATACATTTGTGTTATTAAAGAGTGGAGTTTTTATCAGATGAGCTTTGGAAAATAGATTGCATTACCATTTTAGGTTTCTCCAGGCTTCTTGGAACCTGTAACATGCTCATATGCATTGCACATGTGGTAGAAGAGTGAAAGAGAAAGGGAAATATACCAAAAAAGTAAAATTCATCAATAATCCCACACTCTGAGAGAACCACTGTTAGTGTTTTCGTATAGTTTCTTCTGGGTTTTCCTTTCCTCTATATTTTTCCCATATATGCCTCTTGCTCTTCCCTGAATCGGTGCACAATTGCCTCCCTGTCTTCATTTGTACATTCAATGTAACATGTTTTACTGAGTTCCAATCACATGTGAAATAGAGTGCTGGATACTAACAATATAAAGTATATGTTTTCTTCCCTTAAAGAAGCTCCTTGCTAACATTCATCATCATATGTCTTTTTTTATATAAAAACTTGATCCTACTGTTTGGATTGCTCAGTAACATCTTTTACTCACTTAATCATAGTGATTATAGCTATTCATACTATTCACTAAGTGCTTTTCTTAACAATATGAGCATCTTTATCAAAAGATGTAAGTCTATAACATCATCATCTAAAAGGCTGCATATTTTATCGTGTGACTGTACCATGATTTATTTAATGGATCTGTCAGGCTGTTTTCAGGTTTTTTTTTTTTAATTAAAACAGTATTATGATGAGCACTCATGATGAGGACTGTAGTTTTCATAGTGACATGAACAAAACTGTATTTAAGATGATAAAGCAGCTGACAGGGTAGCAGGAAGGCTGGAATAATTAGACTGATGACAGAGACTACTTATTAGTGTCGCAAGAAGAGAAAATGATGAATTCTACTAAGCAATCTACCGATAGCCATGAAAAGAAATAGGCAGTTATGAGAGACATTTTAATGAGGAACCAATGCAGCTGATTGGAAGTGGTGGGCAAGAGGAGATGGTTAAACAAAGAAAACTCTATGGCTTTCAGTTAGCAGATGAGGTGTGTTGATAATTAACTACCAAACTAAGTCAAGAAAAAATAGCACTTAGGTTTGGGAATTTGAAAGATTAGAATTAAGCTGCAATCATAGACTGAAAGAGCCTCGGGATAGTTAGAATTTGTATTACAAACATATAGGAGAGAGAAATCCGTGAGAAAAAAAAAAAAATGAGAGCTCCTAACAGGGAAATTTATAGTAATATTTAAGAGAGTTGCCTGCAGAATTCTAGAGAATGAAAAATTTAATGTGGAGAGAGAGGGAGAAACTACCAAAACTTTGAGAAGTTATAAGGTCTTCTTCACCAAGAGAGATGCAAAGAAAGATTAACTGATTCCAAGATTTTAAAAGCCTCATGGAAGAGATGGTAAATAAACTATATTTTAGTTGGGCTTTGCTGTTTAGCAAAAACTGGGCTGATTTATTTTAAAAATCTATTTTTATTTTAATCTAGATTAAAACTGAGGCTTACATTTCTGTAATTTTGATTATGTAGGGAGGAAAGTTTACCTAAATAAATAACACAAATAAATGTATAAAGGGAATTGTTTGAACTACGTAGCATGATTAAACTCAAAAAATTTATTTAGCTAGTCCACCATCTTTTTTTTTTTATTAGGATTGCCTAAAGTATTGAGGTCTTTGAATAGTCATCTTATTAAGTCAGGAAATAAACACTTTCATTTAGCACCATGTCTGTCCTTCACGTTCTACTATTTGTTTTTATAGTCAGAACATTAATAGCCTTGGACCTCATAAAGTACAAATTCTTAGTTTCAAAAATGAAGAAATTAAAGCTCGGAGGGATTAAGGTTGGCCTCAAGGTCATGTGGCTTGTTTTTGGAAGAGATGAGGAAGAAAGATTTCAAATAATAACATTCCATTAAATAATCTTTTAATTTATCATTTATTTTCATTTCTTTCACAAAGATTTATCTGAATTTGGATATATATTTGGGCTGGGGTATTTTATAAGCAATTTTGACATACATATGAAATATTCTAATATAGATAGAAAGGTAAATACCTTTATCTGATTTAAAGATAAATAAAGATACATAAGATATAAAATAGATCAGATAATTTGCAAAGAATGTGTCATTTACCCCTTCACATTTCTACCTTGGCTCTTTTTTATTGTCCCTAATAGAGTGACCAAGAGATAGGCAGGGAAGATTGGTCCAATTTGTCCCTGGGAGCACAGCAGTAATGATCAGGAGGAGGGAGGTCCAGTGCTAACTCAAGTTATTCATTCCAGACACCATAGTTTACTGGAGATTGCTGCAGGGAGCATGTCACAATATTGGCCACCTGCTATAAATTAGCCTCAATTTGAATTTTGTTCAAATCAAAGCATTTGTCCTCTCTTATTCTCAGTGTTCTCATTTGTTAAATTTTAATATTAAATATTTGATCCTTAGGATTATCAAGGGAATGAAAATGTAAAACCTCTAATTATGCCTGGCACATAGTAGGGGCATAATTAATGTTAAATGCAGAAGTTACTGCTGTCGTTCTTTATGCTTTCTCATGGAGGGTGAGTCAATATTACAGCTTCTTCCCCATCCCGCTGCTTAGAATTGTATCATTCCCTTGTGGTTCATTTCAAAAAGAACAAATTATTTAACTAAATCATTTACTTTTTTATATTTACAGAAGCTAATAATTTAATCAAATTAGTTATGTAGCTTTTTGAAATGTAACCATTTTAAAAGATATATTTTAATGTCAAATTCTGGAATGTATGTATCTACTTCAAGAAGGTGGTGGTTAGTGTTTCATAATTTCTAATTTCTAAGATGTATGCATTATTTAACTAGTTTTTTAAAATAAGAAGTAAATGAAGGAATTAAATGAAAAAAAGAGACATGAAGATAATTAAATAGCAAGATAATCAACTCTCCTGTCATTTTGGACTTGAATTTATTTTTCTCTATGAGTAATAAGAGCAATAACATTTCAACATAAGTTGAAAAATAATTTTAAAATTATGTTTGCGGGCGCCTGGGTGGCTCAGTTGGTTAAGCGACTGCCTTCGGCTCAGGTCATGATCCCATGGTCCTGGGATCGAGTCCCACATCGGGCTCCCGGCTCAGCAGGAAGCCTGCTTCTCCCTCTCCCACTCCCCCTGCTTGTGTTCCTGCTCTCGCTGTCTCTGTCTCTGTCAAATAAATAAATAAAGTAAAATAAAAATATTTTAAAAAAATTATGTTTGCTTTTGTTCCTGGGCACTGGAACACAGTAATGCTAGGAGTAAAATTTTGCCTTTTATCCATATATGCAGTACTACCTCCAAGCGGAGCACCTGACATTTACCAGAAGAATAGAATTATTCAAGTATTTCTGGTTATTCTTATTCTGGCATTCTAAGTTAGCCATACATACTTTTTTGATAGATGTTTTATTGCACAAATACAATGGATTTCATGTACATTTGTATAAAAAATAAAAGTCTTCAGTGGGAACAGGTGATACCCTTTGTAATAAAACACTTCGGGTAGTACTTGCCTCTTAGTGGTTCATGCTTTTCACTAAACCCTAACATAAATATACTCCAGTTCAGTAAAGTAATTTCCATTAAAATGAACCTCTCATAAATATCTTCAGTAAAATCAGAAATTAGCTTTACCTGAAAAAATTACAATTCTTACATCGTTGAAATATGTTTTGGAAAGTTCACCTGGAATTAATTCTACAGAAATAGAGGCAAATTATGACAAACTATTTACAATGACCTCAAAATGTCTTAAAAGGAAATTACATGAAATCCAAATGTTAAAAAAAAAAATATTAGAAGTCCAAGGAGAAGAATATGGTGAGTGGATTCTCAGAGTGTGGCATTGTAAGTCAATTGTTCCATTCCATTTCCATTAAGGAGAAAACAAACCCTAATTTTAGCAGTTTGGCAAGTTTCTGTACCAGAGTCAAAACTTATGATTTTATATCAGAGGTTCTTCTTTTTCTTTTTCCTATTACTTGTGTATACCGTGCCAGCTAAGTTGATAATGTCTCTTATCCCTTTCTTTTAGCATCCTTGGGTAAGAGACGACAGCATAGGAAACAAGACTGAAAAGCTGAATCCTACCTTCAGCAAGCAGGATCACTCTTCTGTGAAATGCAGATGTTAAAAACCCAGTTGATGGCTGATAATGACATGTCATTGAGTAGATTGTTCTTATGTTGACCATTCATGTTCCAATTTAATGTTTTATTTATTTTGCTAATGTTTGAAGACCTCATTTGTGAGAGTTGTAGGAAAACAATACAGAATTCTTTTAAGTGAGAGTATGTGCCACTGACTCCCAGGGTCTCTATTATTTTTGTCATCTGAATTGTCACACTTCTTCAACAAGCAGAAATTGTTTCCTTATGATTTTCTGTGTTTGAATATGCTTTACCAGTTTATACTAACCTTGAAAAATTTTCTTTTTCCCATTTCAAGTTCCACCCAATCTGACTGTTCCACAGGAAAAATCACCTCTGGTCACCAGAGAAGGGGACACAATAGAACTGCAGTGTCAAGTAACTGGAAAACCTAAACCCATCATCCTCTGGTCTAGAGCGGATAAAGAAGTTGCAATGCCTGATGGCTCAATGCAAATGGAGAGTTATGACGGAACACTGAGGATTGTGAATGTATCGAGAGAAATGTCAGGAACGTACAGATGTCAGACCAGCCAGTACAATGGATTTAACGTGAAACCAAGAGAAGCTTTGGTGCAGCTCATTGTGCAGTGTAAGTAATATTTTTTTTTTCCACGTGTTCCATTGGGGGACAAGGGAAGAAAGGATACGATTATTCTGCTAGTGAAATGACGTGGATTTTGGAATTGGATTAGGATAAAATGTTTCTAACCTTGTCACTAGCCAATTGAAACTGTAGTTTTCCCTAAATCTGCCTCTTGCTTGAGCTAATACTCATAGAAAACAACAGTATCAGTGTGTGTGTGTGTGTCTTTGATAATTACGATGGTATTACATGCTTGGTTAATGCCAAAGAATCAACAAATCTAATGGTTAAAAACTGGCCGTGTGCACTGAGGCAAAGTAGAGATGGGAAATAATTGCTATTACCATACTCTCTTATTTTCACTGTTCTTGTTTCTACTTTAGGCATTTGCATGCCCTTTGCCCAAATTATCCACCTATTTCAAAGCATCCCTTTGCTTAAATTGTGGAGACCTAATCATTGAAAAGCTATGTTTGCATATCTGAAGTTGTAAGAGTAGATTACATAATTATCTAGTAATATTGAGATAATTCAAATATTAGGTACTGAATTTGTTTGATTTTCTTAACAGAAAATAGTTTAACTGTGAGAGTTAAGTATGATCAATTATTTGTATTGAAATCACTGTTACAGTTCTGACCAAAAAAAAAAAAAATTGTAGACATTGTATACTTTGAATTTGCTTTTAGTGTTAAAAGAACTTAAATTTCTAAATGTAAAAAAAAAAAAAAAGTTTAATTCTGTCCTTGACATTAGGTTATTAGAGGATGCCCTGGTACTGGTAATTCGGATGGCGGGTGGTACAGAAAGTGCCAAAAGAGAAGCAGCAGACTAAACACAATCTCTTCAAACTCCAGTAGTGCTGCTCGAAGTTTTAATTGATGTACAATTTGTTAAATACATGGTGGCAAAGTCTTTAAGAACATGAATGAATTAGATGAAACTATACACTTTGATAAGCAATGATGTTGTTTCCTTTCTATGGCTCTCTAACTCAGAAAGTGGAAAATAGAATTTAATCCGAAAATGTCTCTTTTTATATTAGATTTAAGGATGTTGGCAAATTGGATTAACGGACTTTAAATTTGAAAGAATAATTGAGATACGGAAGGATTATGTTTGGAACTGATACCAAGTTCATTTGTGACTGAGTTATAAGAGGGGGGCTGGAGAGGAACAAAGGTCTGGGCACTGCTTAACCATTCCCTGTCCCCATTCTTTAGAAACTCAGATTCTAGTTTGCTATTTGTCCTATATATATGCAAACTGATAATCTGTCAAATACCTTGGCTGATTTCCAATTGATTATGAGTTTGTTTGTTGTTTCCAAGTAACACAGCTTTTAGATAGCAAGTTTTATTCAGCAGTTTAGTATTGCTTTTTCCTCACTGGTCTTTGTACCCATGACAAGCTCATGGGTAGGAGGTTCATGTGAAAACAGGCTCCAGACAGAAAAAAGAGAAAAGAATTTAAAAAGAGAAACTTCTCCTCAATTCTCAAACAAAACAAAACTTTCCAAGACCATAGAGGAAACTGATACAGTTTGGAATACTTTGTTCTTGTGGTAATCACAGAGTTCTGTGCTTCCTCTGGAATTAGGCACAAGGCTTTGGTGTTCCTAAAACTGTTAGGGCTACTAGTATCACTCTGCTCACACCTCTCTGGGGACGCTCTGATACAAATAAAAGTTAGGGAGCCCATTGATTCTAGGGAATTTTGAATTAAAGTTTTAAGAACCAGGATCTCCAACTCCATAGAATATGCAAACTTTCAGAATTCTTTTTTTTTTTAAGATTTTATTTATTTATTTGAGAGAGAGAATGAGAAAGAGAGAGCACATGAGAGGGGGGAGGGTCAGAGGGAGAAGCAGACTCCCCGCCGAGCAGGGAGCCCAATGCGGGACTCGATCCCGGGACTCCAGGATCATGACCTGAGCCGAAGGCAGTCGCTTAACCGACTGAGCCACCCAGGCGCCCAAGGTGGTGTACAATTTAAACTGTCGAATTTCTACTTCAAGTCAATATGTCCTATAAATATCTTACCTCATTTCCCAGTGGATTTAATGAGGAATTATAATGGAGCTGCCCTGAAAACGGATTTGTTTTAACATTTTATTTTTATATTACTCCTGAATATTTGAAAATTGAACTTCCCAAGTGGGTATGTTATTCTGCAGAAAGCCTTTTTAGAATGAATTTACTTTAGCTGAACTGCTCCTGCCCTCCCAGGCAATCAGCTTGCTCCCTGTTTTCTCACTCTTCCAGAGAAGATAGCAGGGTAGATAACCATCTAAGGAAATTGTCAGAGAAAACTGAAACTCTCTCTTTCTAAATAGCTTCTCAGTGTAGAACACAGATGTGATGTCTTTATTGAGCAATGGAGTACAGATTATCTGGAAAGGAGATAGGTTTATCCAGTATATAAATCATGTAAAGAAACTAAATTCATGGGTTTTTTTTCCTTGTTGCATCTCTGGTTCTCTCTTAATGTAGATACAAACATAGTTTAATATTTAGAAAAATTTATCCATTAAAAGTTTTGTATTCAGTGTCTATACAAAGAAGTGGGATGGGGACCAGCCAGTTTTAGTAGAATGATTAAAAGTAGTCCAAATTTAACCCAGCCAAATCTTGTGTTAATTGATATTGTCAGTTAAGTACTTAGGCCCACCCCTGTAGAAATAGATTCAAGTGAATGATTACAGCATTTCCATAACACTGAAAAGATATTTTTCCTTGAAAAATCTTTAGATCTGTGATTAAATTAAATGCATTTTGAATGAAGAAAATTTATGCTGTCTCTTTTCCCAGGAGCTTGTCCTCACCTCCTCCCTTTCTCACTTTATGGAAGTATATTATCTAAGAGAGGTGAACATAAACACATATATAAGCATATATGTGTGACCATAAAAATTCTGTGACTCTTTTATCTTTCTTAGTTAAAAGGGGATTTACTTCTCATCCAAAAATAAGTGTATTCTTCCCAAATATAGAATTTAGACATTTTCTAAATACCATGCTCTTCTCCCATGAAAACAAAAAGGTAATAATAATCCATTAAAATAAATTATGCATAGAAGTTTACATAATATACCCCATGAACATGCCTGTGACTTTATCAATTTATCTTAAATAGTATACCACCAATAAAATGCTTAGTGCACAGGAAAATATAAAGTAGGCAGAAGACATGGGTCTCTGGTTAAGAAAAAAATGCATAAGCATTTCAGAAGCTAGATAACAATGTTAGAAGTTGAATGTCAAAAGGCATTTCATTCGTTGTACATAAAACCAATCAGGAAGTGAGAAAGGATAGGCCAGTATTATGAGAGAAAGGCGTGACTTACTGTCCCTTCATTAGAAGACCCACATTTAAGCAGTATTTAATACACCTGCAAACAAATGGAATTCATATAGAAGTTTAGATTATGTATTGTTAACAAGTTTTACTTTTAGTGGTTATCAATTGTTTGATCCAGTATCAGAGTTTGATATTTAATTCCACCCCAGATTTTTTTGTCTTGGCATGCATTATATTATTTGGGGTTCTATTGTATTATGTTAATAGCTTTTAACCTAGTAGTAAACTCCTTTACTGTATAACCTACTGGAGGGTCTTCTTAGGTTCCATTATATTCAAACTCACGGGACTACCATAGGCACATATGGTATCGAATTCACTTTACAGATATAAGATTGGAACCACAGCTTGTCAGCATGTCCTCTCACTCCCTGCTCCTGGGGACACTTGAAAATTTTGAAAGCATGTTTGGTTGTCATGATTGGAGAAGGTGAGATGCTCTTGGCATCTAGCGCATGGAAGCCAGGGATGCTGCTAAATGTCCCAAGGCATAGGACAAACTCCCAACAAAGAAGTATTCTGCCCAAAAGGAAATAATTTGTTGTATGTGGGGGTTATCCTATTAATTTTAGGGTTTTTAGAGGCATTCCTGGCCTCTAATCTTGACACGCCACTAGCACACCTCTTTTCATGTCATAACAACAACAAAAAATGTCTTCAAACATTGCCAAGTGTCCCCTGATGGGCCAAATTACCCCGGGTTAAGGCCTACTACCTGCATAATGGTTCATATATATAAGGACAGAAGAGCTGTATAATTTGGGGATGGGAACTCTGGCAGAATCCTCTGCCCCACAAGAACCAATGTCTCTTATAACAAACCTATAGGTAAAACTTCCAGTGCCTAAAGTTACAAAGAGTCACTGCACTAAGCTCAAAGCTGTGGCATCCTATTAGATAGGATTCCTCTGTTCCTATTCTTTTTAATCCAGAAGCAATTTAATACAGAAATGTTGCCTAAAACCATAGTTGACATTCTTCTTTTGTCAAGTTACCAGGGAAGCAGAGCAGAACTTTAAAAGAAGGTCAGGGGTGCCTGGGTGGCTCAGTTGGTTAAGCGACTGCCTTAGGCTCAGGTCACGATCCTGGAGTCCTGGGATCGAGTCCCGCATTGAGCTCCCTGCTCAGCAGGGAGTCTGCTTCTCCCTCTGACCCTCCCCCATCTCTTGCTCGCTCTATCTCATTCTCTCTCTCAAATAAATGAAATCTTAAAAAAATAAAATAAAATAAAATAAAATAAAAGGTCAGATTCTCATGCAGCAGGGAAAAGGGTTTTGTCATCTTTTGAAATGCATCTCCTATTCATCTGCCATGTTAAACTTTCTTAGTAATTCTTTTGCTTTAGTACTTTTCTTTGTTTGACCATAATAATTACAGTTGTGTGTATTGAGCAAGTATATTTCCAACATACCTTACTTTTATTTATTTATTTTTTATTTTATTTATTTATTTTTTTATTGGACTCCTCTTCTGTGGACTGCTGTGACTATATTCTTTCTTTGTAAGTTTTTGGCTTTGTATCTGGGTTTGGGAAGGAGTAGCTATACTTCATGATGTTCCATCAGATCATTTGATCTCTTGAATTCCTTTCTTCTGGCAAATGAGGATTTCCTTGAAGTCTTAAAGATTCTAGTAGGAAAAAGCAA